AATCCCTCTGGACTCCTATAACATGCAGATTCTGACGCGGTGGGTCTGGGGCGGGGTTCAAGATCCTGCATTTCTAACAAGTGCTCAGGGCAGGCTGATACCGCGGCCCGCAGACCACACGTTGTGTTCCGCTGCCAAAGACCACAGCTCCTGTCTGGTGACCCTCTCCCATGGCAAACGACAGCTGTCCCCAAGTTCTAATAATCACTCCTGCCCCCAGCCCCTTTAGGCCTGGGGTGCTAGTGACCCCTCACTGCTGCCGGTCTGGGGCTGCCTAAACTCTGTCCACCCCTCTAAATAGTTCCGTCATTAAAATCTCTTTAGGGACCCCTTTGAGTGAGCCATCTGTTTCCTGCCAGGCCTCCCGAGCCAGGGGATCCGACAACCACACAGAGGCAGCTCACCTCTATTTGGTTTCTTTGGCTGCCACATAAGGACCCTTCTGCATCCAGGCTTTGCACTCCCCCCGTGGTTCTAGAAGCATCGCTCTGGGTAGGGTTTCTCCCCTGCGTCACTGGGGGCCATCTTCGACTCCTTGTTATCCCCCGACACCACCAGGCTTTACAAGGGTGGGACCTTGGTGTCCTGGGCGCTTCAGTGTCAAGTGGCCGGAAGCTTCTCAAACTCCCTCCAGGCCAATGCAGGAATTTTCAGGGCAGATTCGGGGGTGTCCATCGTGCACCCTAAGGACAGGGAGCATAGGCAGGTCTCACGGGATGGATTCAAGAGGACCAAGACAGTTTCTTTCTGTGTGTACCTTCTGTTTGTCCACTGTGTGCCCCTCTGTCTAGGCCGCCAGCCTCTGTCCCTGTCTGTGTGTTTATCTCTGTGTCTCGCCCTCTTTCTGTCTCTCTCCACCCGTCTTTGTCTCTCTATGGTCTGTTTCTCTGTCTCTATCTCTGTCTGGAGCTCTCTTTCTCAGGACCTGGGTGAGGTGCCCAGTGCATGCCATTGAAGGAGACACTCCCCCTTGGGTACCCTGGGGACCTCGCCTGCATTAGCCTGGTCCAGGCCCGTCTTTTCTCTCTGTCACCCCTTCCCTCTTTGTCTCCCTGTTTCTTTGTCTCTTCGACGCCCTCATAGAGCAGAGTGGTTGTTTCTCTCTTGCCACAGGTCTCGGTCCCTGCTTATTTCTGTACTTCAGGGGCCTGACCTTTCGCCTTCCGGGCACACGGCTGAAGTCAGTTGCCACCCTGCATGTTCCCCAGCCCGGCACGTGGCATCTCTGAGTCCACTTTTAAGTCCCAGGAGTGGGAATATCGCCCAGCTTTGGCTCAGCCAACCATACTGGCGCAGTCGGCTGTGGCCGGGGGCTCGGCTCCCCCAGTGGGGCTGGGCCACACAGGCCCGCTTGCTCCCTCCACCCAGGCTGCAGTGTGGCACACGGGCACCCTCAGCCTTGCCCTGGGGCTGCCTGGGCATTGGGGGAAACTGAGTTCCAGAACACGGAGGGATACGTTCCCCTCCCACCCCCTCGTCCCGTCTCCTCGTTCTTTAAATGCGCCGAGCGTCTCGCTGCTCCTCCCCAAACGTCCTGGTTCCTCCAGCTGTATCTGCAGAAAAGGAGTCAGCTCCCATTTTGGGGTTCCGGTTTCAGAAGTTGGAGTCGCATGTGGTGATAACACTCCGCTGTCTTTCACCCGGCCGTGGCCAAATGCTCTAGAGAATTCAAGAGGCGTCAGGAAGGAGGAGGCAGCAGCCTTGACTCTGGGGACGAAAGAAGAGCCTGGAAGAGGGCAGGGAGTCTCCACATGGCCCCAGTTGAGGGGTGCGGATCTCAGCGCGGCCCCAGTTAGCCGGGGAGATGGAGAAGGCGGAGAGGCCTGCCGCACTCCAGGCTTGTTTCTGGCTGGGCCTCAGCAACTGTTTTCTTCATCTCTGGGCAGCTCTTAAATTAGCGGCAAGACGATTTAGGGAGGACAGGGCAGTGTCAGCAGGGAAGGTGTGGGGATGGGGCTCTGGGCCACGCCTTGCCTGACTGGGAGACATCGCAAAGGTGGGGCCTGGGCGCAGGAGAGGCCTGGGGACAGGCTTGGAAGCTGGTGGTGGCCGTGGAACTGGGGGCTTTAGGCCTAAGCACACACCCTGGGTTCTTTGCAGGCCTGCTTAGGATTCGTGCAGATTGCCACAGCCATTGGGGCCTGCACTCCCGAATCTAGACTCTGCCTTTGGCCAGCGTGCTTCTGGGGAAGGCAAGGCCCAATCCCAAGCTTCGCTGGTACAGACAGAGAGCAGAGACCACGGCCGCAGAGAAGGCTCTGTGAGCGTTGGGGAAAAGCTATGCAGATGCAAACATGAGCAAGTCACTCTGTGACTAAAGAATCCAGGCCTGTGGCATCTTTCTCTGGAATCCTTTATTACTTTCATGCATCTGAGCCCCTGCTGAGTGCCAGCACTGGGCCGGGTGCTGGGCATGCGCAGGCCCCCGTCCTCCAGACCTTGGGGGAAACAGGGACCTCCACAAACCAGGGTTTATGTTGGGATGTGATGGACGGAGACTCTTACAGTGCTGTGGTGGCACAGAAAGAGCAGTCAATGCTATCTGGGCAGTCACAGAGCCTTCCTGGAGGAGGTGACGTTTACTCCTGCAGGCTGAGTAAGGCTTTACCTAGTGGGACAGGAAGGATATCTCAGGCAGGGCTGAGGGGGCCAGCCTGGCTTGGAGGAGTGTGAGACATTTGCAGGAGAGGGTGACCGCAGGAGAGGGCTAATGTGCCTGGACAGGGGAGGTGGAAGGGCCCCCAATCTGGGCGTCAGCCTGGCCCAGTCCATCTCTTAAACTTCCCTCTAGCTGCCGCTGCTCCAGGAGGCCCTGTGCGACATGGGGGAGGGAGCCGGGGCTCGGAGGCCAGAGGTGGGGAGGGCCGGAGGCCCCCGTGCCCGGGCTGCACACATCACCTTGGCAGTTTGTGGGCAAACCCTCTTGGCCGAGGGGAGATTGCACTGCCTGCTACTTCCTCCAGTTCCTTCCCCTGCCTGTCGTCACGGTTACCTCGGCCTCCTGGGGGTGAGGTTGAGGTTGGGCGGAATCAGTTTGGGCCAGGTTTCTCTTTTCCCAGACGTGGGTCAGCCAGAGGAGCTGTCACTTCTGGTTGGGTTTCAAAGGAGGCCGTGGGCTGGGAGGTGCTGGGTGTGGCGCTGTTGACAGGGTGCCTCTGCAGCAGCCTCCCAGGTGGGGTGGGCGTGGGGCAGGGGAAGCTCGGGGTGGCGGGGCAGGGGAAGAGGCTGCCCTGCCAGGGCCTGTGCCAATGGCCGTGGGGCTGATCTCAGGCCCAGGCCCTCTGTCCTGGGCTCCTAGGGCATGCCGGGAATGTGCAGAGAGAGGCTGTTTATTTTCCTGGCCTGTGGCCCTTTGGGCTGAGACCTTGTTCCAGGCCTTGGGCTGCCAGAATCACCACCCCTTGCTCCCCCCGCAGCTGGAGAAGTGAGAGAATTGGCAAGCCTGGGGCAATCCAACGACTCCTTTAGTAGTCCCTGACTCTGGGCTGTCCCCAGCCCAGCGAGTCCCGTGTGTTCTTCAGATTTTCCTGGTAGGTTATGGACAGCGAGAGGTGCCATGTCAAAGTGTTTCTGATGGACTGGGGCTGCCAGGGCCAGTGGTCAAGCAGGAAGGTTGAAGCCAGAGACTCAAATCCTGGCTCTGCCCCTTCCTGGTCAAATGGCTAGTTGTATGGCCTTGGGCAAATTGAACTGTTGAGCCTCAGTCTCACTGTCTGTGTAAAATGGTACAGTAATAGCACCTTCCTCCCAGGACTTGGATTATGAAGATTAAATAACATATGTTTAAGGCACTTAGCAAAGTAGGGAACAAATGCTGCCTCTTATTATAACTAATGAACAATAACAGCAACTTTGATTCAAAGTCCGTGCTGGGGGTCAGCGAGTTTCCTCCTTCCCATTTCATGGGCCCTGCCCTGTTTCATGCATGGTGAACTTCCTAACGTGTCCTGGGTGGGGAAGCCAGCCTGGAGACTCAGGAGGCCCATCGTTTGTGCCCCTGGGGCCCCCAGCTCTGTCACAGGTGAGCATCCTTGGGGAGGAAACTGCAAGGGCAGGGAAAAGGGTTAAAGCCAGGTGAAGAGACTGTTAGCAGCAGAAAGAAATAGATCTGAGCATTTGGGCGGATCAGGAGAGAGGAATATTGGGTATGGACGAGCAACGAAGGTTGAAAATCCCAACAGAGGGTGAGGGGGTGGGAGACGAAGGCAGCCACGGAAGGGAGACAGGGGTGGGAGTGGAATGTGGGACCTGTGTCTGTGCCCAAGGCATTGTGAAGGGAGTGCCTGGGAACCGCTGGCCTGGAAAATCGTGCCCAGAGGCTTGGGCTGGGCAGGGGAGCAGGCTGTCCCCGCCCGTGGGGTGCCACCTCTGTGAGTAGACTCGCCAGGCTCCCGGCCTCCTGAACTCTGGCAAAACCCAGGTATCTGTCTTGGTCCGTTTTGTGTTTTATTCTCTAACAGAACACCCCAGACTGAGTAATTTATAAGGAGCAGAAATTTTTTGGCTCACAGTTCTGGAGGCCGGGAAGTCCGACATCAAGGTGCTGACATGTGGCGAGGGCCTTCTTGCTGCGTCATCCCAGGGCAGAAGGCGGAAGGCAAGAGAGGGCAAGAGAAGGCCGCACTTGCTCTTATGACAAGCTCACTGTCTCCATGTCAGCATGAATCCAGTCGTGGGGACAGAGCGCTCGTGACCTCATCACCTCTCGAAGGTCCTACCGCTCAACACAGTTGGCCTGGGGATTAAGTTTCCAACACAGGAACCTGGGGACACACTGAACCCACAGCAGCGTCCTGCCCTTCTGGGGCTCTGCCTCCTTCCCTTCCCAGGATGCCCACACGCTCTGACAGGACCCTTGGACTGGCTGGGAGATGTCACCATCTCTTCCGCCGGTGGGCTGGCAGACAAGAAGGGGGCTAGGAAGGGGGAATTGTGTGTCGGGAGGGGAGCCGCACTCCAGGCCTGGCTCACGTCTAATCGGTGGCTCTGTGCCCTCACAGCTAGACGAGGAAGAGGAGCGAAGGAAAAGGCGCCGGGAGAAGAACAAAGTGGCAGCAGCCCGATGCCGGAACAAGAAGAAGGAGCGCACGGAGTTTCTGCAGCGGGTGAGCAGGCAGCTGGCCGGGTGGGGGCCTGCCCGTTCCTCAGAGGGGGCTCCTGCACTCTGGGCCAGGAGAGGCCGGCAAATGCCATGCAGTCGATGACGTGCACCTGCTGGCAGCTGCCCAGGCAACCTCGGCCCGTCTGGTCCTCCCTGCCTCTCATCTAGTACCAGCCCCAACCGAGAGAGGGCAGCCTGCAGCGGTTCCTGCCCACGTTCACCCCCTGGAAGCCCAGGGAAGAAAGGAGGGGTCAAGTCCCCCTCCACAAAGTTAGACCCTTCGTGCTAACTGACCAGGATGACCCAGGGCTGCTACTACCCATTTTGGTCCCCTGTTAGCTACCAAAGGTGTCCAGGGTGCGTGTTCATGGAGCTAGGAGGAAACATCCTGCATGTGGTAGAGAACACAGCACCTGGGCCGGCTGCTTTTGTGCGGAGAAAAGCTCCTTCCCTTAGCTGCAGGTGGCTCAGCCAGCCCTGGATCCCACCTGGCCAGCCCCTCAGCCTCACTGGAGATGACCCCTGAGCTCTTTGCTGCTGTCCCCAGGGGTCAGAGGTCAGCTCTGCCTGCAGAAGTCAGAGGGGGTTGAGGGGGGCGGTGTTTTTTTCCTTCTGCCCCCCCCCCCCCCGCCCTCTCATCTAGAATGTGCCAAGCGGGGTGTTTGTTCTTTTTCTCCCCTGTGTCCTGTCTCTCAAACCCTCCCTGCATCTCGGGACGGCAGTGGCAGTGAGGGAGCATGGCCAGAAAGCTCATCAGTCCAGACCAGTAGTCTCAGCCTCCCCACCCCTGATCACTGGTTCCTCACTGAACAATGATAACAATCGTGTATAATAATAATGTAACAGGTCAGGTGCCATTCCACAAGTGTGCGATAATTAACAATAGTTGCCAGTATTTGTGAAGTTGGGCACTGTGCTAAGTGCTGTGTGTGCCTTATCTCACTTCATTGGCATAAGAACCACATGAGGTGGGTAACTTCACTATTCCCTTTCTACAGGTGAGGAAACTGAGGCACAGTGAGGTTAAGTAACTTGCCCCTTGGTTGCCTCTCAGCAACAGAGTGGTAGCACTGAGGGTCAAGCCTGAGGCCAACCTCAAAGTGCCTATCCTTTGCTCTACTGGCTCTGATTCATTCATTCATTCTTTTGTTTTGATCCAGCAAGTATTGTGAGCATGTACCAAGTGCCCTGCACTGGGAGCTGGGGAGACCAGGCAGGGTTGGCCTCGTGTTTTTGGACACTGGGGGTCTATGGATCTCTTCTCATGCTTGCAACAAGCAGAGAGCTGTTCTGGGGCCATGGTGGGGACAGTGTCGGGCCATGTGTTTATCTCCAGGCTGAAAGTCTCTAGGGCAGGGGAGTGGTTAGTATAGGCAGGAGATAGACACTCAGAGCCCCCTTGGAAGAGGTGGTGGCTCAGCATTGTGCTGGAAGTCTTCAAGGAGTTTCTAAGACGCTTTGAGACAGATGGAGTGTTCCCTACCTCATTTCCAGCGCCAGGTGCCTGCCATGGCAGCGCTGGCTGGGCAAGGCACCACAGGGAGTGGAGAAGCTTCACATGACGTCCCTGCCTTCAAGGCTGGCCAGCCAGCTAGCAGCAAGACAGGCTGAGTGCACAGCACACCAGTAACACGCCGGCACAATAAACGTCAACTAAACAACGCTCGCTGCTTCTCACATTCTGGTAGCATTTATTGAGCACCTACTGTGTGCCAGGCATTTCATGTGTCTCATTTAATCCTTATAACATTCCAGTGAGGTGAATGTTAATTCATTACCCCCATTTTAGGGACCGACCTGTAGTTCAGAGAGGTCAAGTTGCTCGCCCAAGGTCACAGTGCTAGCAAGCGGTGGGCTTGGATTCTTCCACCCATTTGCTGATCCATCCAGCAAGTGTCTAGCAAGTGCCCGCTGCGCGGCGGACAGGCAGGCAAGGTCTGCGCAGGGACGGCAGACGGGAAACGAGGAACGGGGACGTGTGCTGGGCGTCACGCTGGGCAGGCCCGGCGGGCTGGGAGATCACGCAGCAGGGGCCCCGTCCCAGCCTGGGCGGAGGAAGGACTGCTTCAACTCAGGCCTGAAAGAGAGCAGGAGCTAAGGAGACGGGGCCGTGGCGTGTCAGGGGTTACCAGGAGCGGCGCAAGTGCAGGCGCAGGTATTGTGTAGGGGTGTGTTTAGGGCCTGAGAGAATGCCGGCTGGCTGGTGGTCAGAGTACTAAGTCAGGGAGTGGAGAGGCAGGCAGGGCCCAGATCCTTCCGGCCTGTGTGCTGGCTTCCCCGGGACACCCCAGTTTGTGCCTGTTGTCCTGGCCCAATGATTAGCAGCCCCTCTTTCACTCTTACATGTGTCCCCATCGGGATGATGAATTCTATATCATGGAGAGCCAGCAAAGGGTTTCCAGAGGGGAGAGGCACGCCTTCAAAAGGGCACAGATTTGGACAGGGAGATCAGTTTCATGGGTGCTGTGTTGTCCCAGTGAGAGAGAAGCGTGCAGCGTCGGGGCCTGGGAGGGAGATGTGGGCAGCATCGTCTGGGCCCAGACCCAGTCCTCCCCTTCCCCCCTGCTCCCCTGCTGGTTTTGGAAGCGAGGTTGGGTGTGAGGTTTAGGCACAAATGCAGATGGCCATGTCGATGGTCTGTGACTGCAGACCTCTGGGAAGCTTTTGTAATTTATTTTTAATAGTAAAATGTTTACAAGGCTCCAAGGTACCTATATTACTAATAAATATTAATTGTTAAATAAAGGAATACATATACAATTGGGATATATATAAGTAAAATATATCCATACAGACATACAGTCAGCCTTCCATATCCATGATTCAACCAACTGAGCATCAAAACTATTTGGGGGAAAAAGAAACATCTGTATGAACATGTACCGACTTTGTTTTCTTGTCAATATTCCCTAAACAACACAGCATAGCAGCTATTTGTATAGCATTTACATTATATTGGGTATTAGAAGTAATCTACGAGTGATTTAATGTATAATGGAGGATGTGCATAGGCTATATACAAATACTATGCCATTTTATATAAGGAACTTGAGCATCCTTGGATTTGGGTATACTCGGGGAGTCCTGGACCCAATCCCCCATGGATACTGAGGGAGGACTGTATATATCGATATATTATAAAAGTCACTCCACCACCACCCTTGACCCCTGGACACCCAGATCCACCCCTGGGAGATTCTTACTACATCTCAGAGTTCACCTGCCTAGACCAGCCACAGCCCTGAACCCCAGGCAGAGGGCAGGCTTTGGGAAGGGCCAGGCCCACACCCTGCAGGACCCGGGGCTTCCTCAATACCTCCTCTGCCTGCAGTCAGGAGCAGTGGCCTGAGCCTTCTCCCTTCTCTCACACTGGCCTCTGTCGCGCTGCTGTGCCTAACACAGGTTTCGTGGGTACTGGTAGCAATGATGCCGTCTCACGCTCTTCGTCACCACCCTCGCCTGGACAGTCACAGCGGCTCTGGGGGGAGGCGAGGCAGCCCCATTCCAATGACAAGGATTGTAAGGGATTAAAGGTTTGCTCAAGACAACACAGCAGCCGAGTCAGGCGACAGCCCTAGACTTTCTCTACTGCTCAGCACGTTATCCGGGTGGCCTGGCCCAGACTCAGAGAAATCAGGAAACTTGTCTGTGGAGGCACAGCTAGTGAGTAGCAGAGTCAGGACTTTAATCCAGACAGGGTTTTGGGGCTCAGAAGGCCACATCGGGCTGCTTCTTAACTCTTACAGAAAGTAAGTGGAATTCAATTTTATGTGCTATAGAGTAACTTTTTTTTTTTCTTTTTATACATCCAGACAGTCTTAATGCTCAAGTCCCGTGGGCAAATCATCATATTTTCTGGGAGGAAATTGAGCCTCAGAGAGGCAAAGTCACTTTGCCAAGGTCACAGCTGGGATGAAAAGCCGGGACCCCCGGCCCCGCACTGGTGTTTTCCTGCCGCCTTTGCCGACTGCAGTGTAGGAGGCAGAAACTTAACTTGCACTAATTCTATTCTAAAACAGCAAATGGTTTCATTTTGTCTAGGGCAATAAATGTCTACCAGAAGGCAAAACAATAAGCAAAAACGCAGACAGAGTTATTCACTGCATAATTAACATGTGGAAGATCCCAGCCCAGTTTCTTCATTAATTAGGAAAACAAATCAGGTAATTGCTGTTATAAAGCCACAAACCACATCTACAACCATGGTTAAAAAAGATTCTTCTGAACTTCAACTTATACAATAAATAAAAATGTAGCACCAACCGAAAGCTCTTTGAATACAGAAGGGAATAAAGCTAAAAAGCAGTTATTTACATTCTGACAGCCAAACAGTCAGAACTCAGGGTATCCCATGATACGCTCTAACATTTTCCAGCCAACAGAATGTGATGCCATTCCTGTGATGACTGCACGTGTGTGGCAGTCTGCCCCACGCCTCGTTGGTCTTTTTGTGTGACACACATAGGGTTGGTTTGACACGCGGCAGTTCCCTGTGGGTGGCTCTATTGAATTCTGCCTGTCCGATGCTTCCCCTTGCATGTCCTGTTTTAACTTCAAACTCACTGTACCCCACACCGAACTGCTTCCTCGTCCTTTCCACTGCTATCCAGAACAGCTGCGTCCCAGGCTCCGTCCCTCTGACTCTTCCTGGGGTTCACAGTCAGCTCTCTGCCCCGTCTCCTTCCTTCTCCGAATCCAGGCAGTCACCAAGACCTGCCGATGTTACTTTGAAACATCCTCCTCTTCTTCTCTTTCTTCTTCCTGCTGTTCTCTTGCTCCTACGTTAAAGTAAAAATTCCTTAAGCCTCTCTAACCCTTTGGCTTACAAAGTGCTTTTTCCCGTGGGCTCATTTAATCCCCACAATCCTCGCCTTTTTACAGACAAGATAACTGAGCCATTAAGGAGCCGGGTCTAGACTCTGATGCTAAACCCACAAGCGTTCCGGAGCTACAGGCTGGCTCTAAACTCCCCATTGTGGCTTTATACCCTGCTATGTCCTAAAGTGAGCTAGGGTCACACTGGAATATTTTTATCCTCTAAGCACGTCCTGAGCCTTCCCATGTCAGCACCCTTGTTCACGCATCTGTAAGTCCCTCCGTATCCTTCTCTACCCAACCAGAGCCAACCCATCTTTCAAGCCCAAGGTCAAATGTTGCTATTTAGCCCTCCCCGACAGTCCTCTGAATCCTGGGTTGCTGTCACCCAGTAAGCTCTGCCTGGCCGAATGAATTTCCTCTTCCCCTTAGGGTGGAAGGTCCACGAGGGCCATGTTGGGGGCTCATGGCGTTTGGATTGCCAGAGCATTCACTGTATACAGCAGGTCCTCGGCAAATACTCACGGGCGGGTGTGTGGCTCTGAGAGTCATAGAGGCAGAGGCAGAGGCAGAGGCAGAGGAGAATTTGAAGATGGAGCTTCAGTTTGGGCTGGAGGGACCTGGATAGTCAGAAGGTTTGTGAGAGGTTCTCAAGGTCCCCAGTGAGTCAGGCCCAGAGAGCAGGTGGCTAAAACTGGTACCTCAGTGCCCCAGACTGAGGGGCCCCATGCTTCCACGGTTTCACGGGCAGTCTATCCTTGCCCTCTGAGATGGACTTCTTTCAGAATCCTGAGAACAGAGGACCAGGCCATCTTCCCAGTCGTGTCTCAGCCTGTTGAACTAAAAACCGCCATAGCTGGTGTTTAATATTTTCCCCCTGAGCATTTTTTTCCTTTTGTGAGGCTGTTTTCTCTCCACGTCTGGTCACGAGGCCCGCAGATCTCAGCAGTTCTGAGTTCCCTGGGCGCACATGCCACCACCTCGGGAGTGAGCACACGGAATGATCTGGTCAGACCGGCTGGTGTGAGGAAGACGGCAAAGGGGGGGGGGGCACCAAGGGCCCCAGAGACCCCAGGAGGAGGCGGCTCCCCCTGCGCCCTGCCGGAGGGTGGGCTCGCAGGCTGCCCAGGCATCGCACACGCAGCCGCAGCCTCGGCTTGCTCTTTGAGACAGGTTTCATAATCTCTGCACTATCAGCATTTTGCACCAGATAGCTCTTGTTGTAAGGGCCATCCTGTGCCTCGTAGGATGTTTAGCATACCCCAGGCCTCTACCCGCTAAATGCCAGTAGCACCCTCCCCTGAGTTGTGACAACCAAACCAGAAATGTCTCTAGACACTGTCAAATGTCTCCTGGGGGGCAAAATCCCTCCTAGTTGAGAACAACTGACCTAACACTTTGCTGGCCCCTGAATACATTTCGCCTCTCAAACTGGTTATACGTTTTTAGACACAGTCCAATAAAAACCATCCTAATACTTGTCTGTTTTACTGCTTCACCCCCAGGCCTTGAATTGATATGCCCATGCCCTATCCACGCCATGAACATGTGACACCCCCCACCCCCACCACATTATCAACATTCCTTCCTTTCCCGGGAGCATCTCCCGCTGAGCTGGACATTCACTGGGAATCTCACATGAGGTCTTTTTGAAAGCTCATTTTGGACCCAGCAGGGTGGCTGTTGATTGCCTCTCCGCGGGCAAAGTGTCTGGATTATGGGGATAAGGAAAAGATTGTTTAAATAATGATAGACTAATAGCCCAAAAACACATGTTTTAGGAGGAATGATATGATCACACTGGGCTTATTGATCCCACAGGCCAGAATATCCCCAACATGCATTTGTCACCCATCAAAGCCTTCTGCCATTGCACTGCCATCTGTGGACCTCCTTGGACCCTCATGGACCCTCCGTGGGCCTGCTCGAGAGCCACTTGGCCTCCATTCTTTTCCCACCCTTCATTTCTTGTGCAAAGGCCCTGAGGCAGGAGAGTATTTGGCATATTCGAGTGACAATGAAGGGGACACTGAGGCTGGAAGGGGTTGGGGGAGGGAAGGGAGGTAGGACTTGAGGCTGCCTGGCCCCAGAGTATAGCCTGGACTCACCCCACTGTGACACAGGCCAGTGTCACAGGTATGGTGGGCGCTGCCTGCAGAAAGTCAGTTAACCCAGGGGCTCAGTAGCAGGCTCTGTGCTTCCTTCAGTGGGAACCCGGCAGGCCGAAACCCCGCAAGTGCCAGCCAGCACGCCCTGCGCCCACCCGCAGGCAGAGCCTCTCCCCACAGCGGTCTGTGCTGGAAGCTTACGGCGTGTTTCTGTCCTTGTGCACAGGAATCCGAGCGGCTGGAGCTCATGAACGCCGAGCTCAAGACCCAGATCGAGGAGCTGAAGCAGGAGCGGCAGCAGCTCATCCTGATGCTGAACCGGCACCGCCCCACCTGCATCGTCCGGACCGACAGCGTCAAGACCCCCGAGTCAGAAGGCAACCCGCTGCTGGAGCAGCTCGAGAAGAAGTGACCATGGGCTGGGAGGAGGAAGAGGACGAGGAGGAGGAGGAAGAAAAGAGACGAAGAGGGGGGAGGAGGGGGGTCCCAGGGGGCCCTTCCTTGGTGCATAACAAACTATGCGATGAGGTTCGGCTCTGCCAGCGTCAGCCGGGCTTTTTTGTGAAACTCGCGTGGGCCACACAAGGGGAAGAGCGGGCTGAAGCATCCCAGAGGGACCAAGCGCTGAGACCAAAGTCGACCCGCGGGTAGGGCCGTCCTGCCTGGGGCCCAGCCGGAAGGGAGCAGGACAGAGGCACCTGGGCCAGAGAGATGCCCAACCTCGGGCCCATCTCCAGCCTCCCTGCCAGGACACCCACCAGAGGGACCTCCAAGCAGCCAGGGAAAGCCATGAGTTGCAACCAAAATGCGGCTGAGGATGGAACTCAGAAGGAAACTGCCACCCGCCTGCCCCACCCCTGATGGCACGCTGGAGAGGGGCGTGCTGGGGCCCTGACACCTGCCTGCCTGGGCCCAGCCAGGCCCTGCCGGGGACGCGGCAGCTGGGCGCACCCTCGCCGGCCCTGCTGGAGTTTGCTGTGGGCACTGAGGCGCGGGCGCCCTTCCAAAGCACATACTCACTGAATGTTTACAGACTGGCTGTCCTAGCAGGGCTTTCAACTGCACATGTTTTTTATACTTTTTTTTTAATATTTTTTACAAAAAAAAAAAGATTTTATACAAGCAATATATATATGGATTTCTATAATCACTCGATGTGATACAGTATAAATATGCTATGGTTTGTTTGTTAAGAACAGATACCCACCAGTTATGGCCGTTGTGTGTAACTCCTAAGTACTGTAGTCTCTGGGTGTCGGGGTGGCCGGGGCGGGGGTGGGGCGTTTCCATCCTTGTAAACCCTTTATAGTACTCAGTCCTGTATCGCTCAGTAAACATTGCTCTTACTTACGCAGCTGCCTCGCGTGGTGTGTGCCCAGGGAGTGGGGTGCCAGGGCTGCCCAGGGTCAGGGAGTGTTTGCAGCGCGGGCTGTAAGCCCTTAGTCTTCACGACAGCCCTCCCATCTTACAGGTGAGGAAGCTGAGACTCGGAGGAGTTAAAGCAACCGGCAGTTACCATTTTGGGAGCACTTAGTTTATTCACTCACTCCACAAATGTTTGCTGAGAGCCTCAGGCGTGTGCCAGGCATTCTACAGGGCACTGTAGCAAACCCAGGTCTCTCGCCCACGGAGCCCACAGCAATGAGGTCTTCTTGTGCTTGCCTCATGCGCTGTCTCGTCTCATCTCTACCACAGCCTGACCAGGGAGCAGCCCTTGTCCCCATTTCACAGATGGGGAAGTAGAGGCCCAGGAAGATTAAACTTGCAGCCACCATTTGTAGAAGATTTATCGGGCGACAAGCACATGTATAGTCTCACGTCTCACAACGGCACAAAATAGATACTATTCCTCCCATTTGACAAATGACTTAACTGGGGCTCAGAGACGGTAAGTGACGTCTCCAAGCTCACCCCGCTAGCAAGGGACAGAGCTGGTGTTTGAACTTTGCCTCTAAAGGCCCATGACTCTCCTCCTGTCACCAGCTGACCGTGTGACTGTCCCTGTGGTTGACTGTCTCACCTGAATAGAATAGGAAGCTTGTGACACCACGGTCATGGATCTTGTTTCTGGGAAGGCTGGGGGTGCAGTTCCCGGCTGTCCCATGATCACAGAGGGAAACGGCTACCCTCGAAAATGTGTGCCTGACCCAGGGGAGGGTACAATGGCTCCCCCCACCCAGGTGAATGCCTGCTGCCTAGAGCAGGACAGCTCAGTGCCGGTCACAGTAGCCGCGTTTACCTTGCACTTGCAGTTCACAGGGCATTCTCGTGCATGTTTCCTGTGATACTACAGTGCTCTTGGGCGGGTGGGATGGGAGTCTTAGCTCCCTTGTATACTAGGGCTTGCAAAGGTTAAAGTTTACCTGGCTAAACACATGCAGAACTGGGAGCTAACCCCCACTCTCCTACCTTCTAATCATATGTCCTCTCCTCTGCCATGGTGCTGATGAGCTTCGTGTCAAGAACAACAATGACCTTGGGTCGCTTCCCAAATCATGAACGATGCCTTCTGAGATGGCCTGAAATCGAGAATAGGTCATTAACACATTTTTGGTCGCTCACGCATCTCAGGTTCCCTCCACCCAGTATGCGTGGCCTGGCCTCCCCGAGCTCCCGGTCAGCCGCGGCAGCCCACAGGGAGCCCTCGGGCTGTGATCCTTCGACATTTTTCAAGCCATGAGAAAAGCGAAGATGTTGGACTTACACCGCCCCTTCCAGTGACCTGATAGATGTTCCTGGAGGACGGCTGCCTGACACTGGCCGTGGCTACGCCGGTCCCACGCTCGGGTGCCAGGAGCCAGCATCTCCAGGGGAGAGCCCTCCTTACCCTGCGCGGGTGGGCTGTCTTCTGAAGTCACCAAATCAGTGACTTGTGCTGTGCTGAGCCTGCCCGCGGTGTTTCCTTCCTCACCAGGACCACGGCCCCGTCCTGCGGGCAGTCAGAAGTCACGATGACAGTCTTCTTCGTAAGAGCTAGTGTTCGCGTGTTCTCTGTGTGCCTGCCACGGACATGTGTTACCTCCGCTGCTTCGTACGACCTTGCTGGGAGGGAGGTACTACCGCCCCGTGTTTCAGATGAGAAAACTGAGGCACAGAGAGGAAGTGACTTGCCCAAGGTCACAGACCTGCCTGGTGGCAGAGCCGGGAGGCTATTGCAGTCTGACTCCAGCTGTATAGAACCCGGGCCTTACCCTGAGCCTTACCCTAGAGGAGGTGTTTGTGCTGTGACCTCAGTTGCCAGGGGGACTTGTGCAGGAGGCCGGGAGAGATGGCACAGACCCACCTGTGCCCACAGGACATATTAAGAATTCCCAGCTCCCAGACACGCCATCTCCAAGTGTGTACCAAAGACATACTTTAAAGGCAAACAGGTTCAAGATTGAATGTTCTATTGACTGTTAGCCCCATTGTTCTTATCTGTGAAGTGGGAACAGCCATAATCCAAGTCTTTTATTATGGAGTTGTTGTCACGATCAAAAAAGGAATGGCTATTAAAGTGTTTTGTGAAATATAAAGCTCCGTAAAAATGGTGATTATTGTGCCCTCTGTTAGCGTGGATAGCTGTTGACATTTACCACTTAGTACGAATTGTTTAAATATCTTTTTTTCTCTAACGGCGGGTTGCAGAGCTTGTGTTCTGACCCTGCCCTGGTCCCCATGGTGTGATGAGTGTCTGGAACCCAAGGGTTCATTCGGCTTTTGAGGGGTCAGTTGTGCTGGGCTCTCCACCCCTCCCTGGGTGTCAGTGCGCCCTTCTGCCAGGTGGTCATAAGTAAGGCCTGTGTCACCTCTGCCCACGGTTCCTGTGAAAATCAGTGGAGTTGTTGTATGCAACCACGGTCTGCGAGGGACAAGACCCTTCGTCAATCCAATGGGCAGAAGCTAACCTGTGTTGGTCAGAAAAGGGATTAAAATAAGCTTACATATGCTGCCAGCAGGAAATTGGTGGGACTACTGTGTGTAAAGCAATTTGGAAATAACCAGTAATGCTGAAGCTAAACACATCCTTTGACCTAGCAATTCCCTCCTAAGTATATACTTGGGAGGAACTCTGGCATAGAGCATGAGGAAATGTTCGAGAATGTTCCCTGATGCTTTGTTTGTATCAAAGAAAAATTAGAAACAAACTAAATACCTACAAACATGAGAACAGATAACCAAATCTTGGTGTTTGCATGACACGAAATGTTATTCAGCATGTTAAAAAGAATGAACCGGAGCTACATGTATGGATGTGAATAGATCTCAAACACACAGGGTTGAGCTAGAGGGTAGGGGAGCAAATTGCAGAAAGATACCATTTATGCGGTGTTTCTAAACATGTAAATTGATACTTTGCTGTTTGTGGGTACACTCGGATCTAGGTAACAGAAGTATAAAAGCATACACTGGAATGCTAGAAATATCAAAATCAGTAACAGGGAGTGCTCCTGGCAGAGGAGGGGGCAGGGACAGCCCCCAAGAGGGTAAGTAGGACACTGGACTTCAACTATGTGTAACATTTCATTTACTTTTTAAAACCCCCATCAAACGTAGAATGATGCTAGCATTCATCACAGGTAGGTGACACGCACACAGATGTGGGTTATGTTCTCCCCACGCCTCTGTATGCTGAATATATTTCGTAATAAAAGAGAACAAGCCGCAATACAAATAGAAGGCTTTGGTTTTTTCCATTTTCTCCTTTGCAAACTCAGGAAATAAGAACAAATCTGAAATTACAGTGGAGCTGCAGCATATGCTCTTTGAATTTATGAAAATTTAATACGCCCCGAGGGAGAGAGAAAAAATTCAAAGGGCGTGTGAGGAGTTTAGCTGGCCCCGCCCCTGGGGGAGGGTGCCCTGGGGTGAGGGCACCTTGGGGAGTGTCGGTCTGCTCCACAGCAGCAGGTCCTGGCCCCTGCGGTCTGCAGTATGGGCAACTCGGGAACCCTCAAGGTTCATTTGGACTGTCTAGACTTTTCAACCCAACCCCCCTGTGAAAAGCAGCTCGACCGCACCTGTAAGCGGAGCCGTGGGCTAGAAGCAGAGCAAAGGGAGAGCCTGTTAAGGACATGAGCCCAGTTTTTTCAGGTCTGTTCGTTTTCTGTTGCAGCTGTAACAGATTACCACAGATTTTATTATCTTACAGTTCTGGACGTCAGAGCTCAAAATGGTTCTCACCGGGCTAAAATCAAGGTGTCGGCAGGGCTGTCTTCCTTTAGGAGGGTGTAGGGGAGAGTCCACCTTCTTGCCTTTTCCAACTTCTAGAGGCTGCCTGCATTCCTTGGCTCACAGCCCCTTCCACCTTCAAAGCCAGAGACAGCCGGTCACGCCTTCCTCACACCCCATTACTCTGCCACTGACTCTCTCTCTCCCTCTTCCATCTTTTAAGGACCCTTGTGATGCCGCTGGGCCCACCCAGATAATCCAGGACAATCTCTTTATCTTAAGGGCGGCTGATTAATCCCATCTGCAACCTTAATTCCCTCTTGCCATGTGACATAACATACTCACAGGTTCCAGGGATTAGAATGTGGACATCTTTGGGGAGGGGGGTGTATTATTCTGCCTATCACGACAAGAAATTAAGAATTGCATGTTTTTAACTATGACCTTTCTCACTACTAGGCAAGATAGACTGTTTCCCGTGTAAGCGCCATGAGGATGGAGTCCCTACACGGTGCACCCCCACCCCCAACCCCATGCCTGGCTCAGTGCTTGGCACATTGCAGTGGTCAATACACACAATATACACAGACACACACACCAACCAACTCACAGATGGATAATACAGTGTAGCCAGACAAAAACAATTACATGCGCAACATGGATACATACGTGAATACACAGATACATTTATTCGAAGATATATTAAAGTAATGAAACTGATGCTTGTCTTACTCCTTTATATTATAGTTGAAATTTTGAAATGCACTTGTTCTTCACACTGGGATATCTTTGTTCTTTGGGAATAGCTAACTTCGGATTAATAAGGAGGTTAATTAAGCTAGGCATGCCGTTTTGGCTTAAAAATTAAATATTGTGAGAGATTGATTTTCTTGTTTGGCTCCTAAGTGTCTCTGTGGGCAATTTCTAAAGAAGCGACTCCCAATGCTTTGGGCTATTTGCAGCTAATCACATTTTAGCATCAGCCTCGACCTCTCTAAAGGACAGGACTCGTCTGGGTGGTCTGTATTAGACACCTGTTGCACTCCAATTAAAATACTCTGACTCCAGCTCTATCACAGGACCAGTTCTGACCAGGTGAGCAACTTTACACAGGTGCAACCTGACAAAGCCCCCACAGGTGCATGGGGCTAGTAGGAGGAGTAGTACACCTCCTACTTTTTGTCCTTTGGGACATCCATG